CTTGTAGTCTGAGGAGTAGATGATACTGTAAGTGTTCTCTCTTATATGGATGGATCACCCTCACGCTGCAGGGTGCCCTTCTTTTCCTACTTTTACTTGACCCAAACTCACTCTACAAAGCCTGTTTCTCTTCCTACCTTTAATAGAACTTTGCTACTATTAAAAGTGCAAGGACCCGAGTTCGATCCCCGGTACCAAAACAAACAAACAAACAAAAACAATCCCAGACATCTCAATTTCTAGAGAAAAATTACATTCTCAATTTCTAGGAGAAAAGAATAAACCAAATCCAAAATCAACAGAAGGAAAGATCAGAGCTGAGATTAATGAATTGTTGACTAAATGAACAATACAAAGGATCAATGAATCAGAGTTGGTTCTTTGAAAAGGTAAATTTGACTGATAAACCATGGGCCAAACTAACCAAAAGAAAGAAGACACACAAATTACAACAGATACCACTGAAATTCAGAGGATTATTAGAAACCATTTTTTTTTTTTTTTTTTTTGGTACCGGGGATCGAACTCGGGTCCTTAGCTTGTGAGGCAGGCAGTGGAACCACTGAGCTAAATCCTTGGCCCTAGAAACCATTTTGAAAAACATATTCTAAAAAACTGGAGAACTTACAAGAAATGGATAAATGTCTAGACACAGATAACCTAAAAGAATTAAATTGAGTGGATACAAAAAATCTAAACAGATCAACAATAAGCAATGGGATTGAAGCAATAACAAGGCTTTCAACATAGAAAACCAGGACTAGATAGATTTATCACTGACTTTCACCAAATCTTTAAAGAAGAATTAATACCAATGTTCTTCAAACCACTCTATGAAACAGAAAGGGAAAGAATGCTTACAAATTTATTGTAGGAAGATAGTATCACCGTGACACAGAAACTAGGTACTTAGCAAAAAGAAACTACAGAACAATATCCTTTATGAACATAGATGCAAAAATTGTCAACAATTCAACCACACGTTAAAAAGGTCATAAGCCCAGACCAACCTGGTTGCACCCAGGGATGCAAGGACAGTTCAACATACATAAATTAATAAATGTACTATGCCACAAAAATAGAATCAAGGAAAATAATTACATGATCATTTCAATAGAATTCAGGAAAGGCTTTTGACAAAACTCAACAAGCTTTCATAATAAAAACTCTGAATAAAATGGGTATAGAAGGATTTTTCTTCAAAAAAAAAAAACAAAAACAAAAGCTGTATACAACAAACCCACAGCCAACATCACACCAAAATGAGGAAAAACTTAGTCTTTCCTTTAACTATGCTGGATTTTCTTTATACACCTCAAATGAAACATCCAGCAGACAACTGCAAGCAGAAGCAGATATGAAAATCCAACTGTGTCCCATTTTGGCAGACATTAAAGAAGTTCACAAAAATGTATAACAATTTGTTTTGTTCTGCTTGGAAAATAATTATAACCTATTTTTAAAATGTTATTTATCATAGGGTTGATTTCTGTTTTTAAATGAGTTAATATACATTCTCGTTTCTATTTTAGTTTCTAATATATTAACATATAAACCAAAGGTCTTTGAGGCTCTCAATAATGTGCAAAGAAGTCCTGCATCTAAAATGTTTGAAAGCACTGCTTTACAGTACTGTATTTGCTATACGCTGACTGTACACTTGTGATAGCCAACCCGACTCCATCTTGCGCCTCAACGCCATTTTGTACCTGTGCTTGAGCTTGAGCAAAGCACCCAAAACCCCCACATCCTGCTTGGCAGTAAACTTGCTGCAGTTGCAGGATGTTTTGTAGCTCATCTAGTGTGTGTGTGAAACTTCCTTGTACCCACCCACCCACCCACCCACTAACCTGGCATGGTTCTGCTTCTGTAAGATTCCGCTTGCTCTCCCCTGAGCCCTCTCCAACTGAAAGCATGATTTAAAAGGAGAAATCAAACTACTTCCCATTCCCCAGGAACCTTTCTGGTCGCCAGCCCCCCTCGGCCGCCAGTTATAATAAATGAGCTCGAATCTGGCACAGAGTGTGGCGCATCTCTATTGTTCGAACTTGCTTGTCCACAACACCCTCACAAAATCCAGCTGCTGACTCCGAACCCCCAATGTGACAGCATTGCCCTGCTGGCCTTCGGGTCGCAGTGCAGGTTAGACACGGTAATGGGTGGCGCCCTCTCGCGTGGACTCACATCCGGTCAGAAGGGACTCCGCGAGCTCGGTGCGCTTCTCTGCACGCAAACAGGCCCTGTGAGCCCGGGCAGAGGGCAGAGATGTGGGCGGGATCAAGAACTGTCACCAGAACAGAACAACGTGACACCCGAGTTTGGCCTTCCACCCGATAAGTGTGAGACAATTCTGTGGTAGCAGCACAGTCCACGGTGTTTTGTCTCGGCAGCTGGAATTAACACAATCCACAGCAGAGATCCGCACCAACCCCAGAGAACAAAACAGAACAGCTAACCGTAGTCATTTCCAAAATGGACCCACTGAGATGGGGAGACCCTCCAGCGGGGGACCTCGACGGGGGAGTTCCGGGCAGTCGGGGGTCCTCGGAAGCCTGTGGGGCTTCGCCCGCATCCGAGCTTCCCACGTGGTTTCGTCTGCGCTGACCCTGCGTCCTTCCCCGCGGCCGTCGCTCTGCGTCCTCACTGGAGAATCTGTACTTCACAACAAACAGTTCGTGCACGCAGCACAAGTTATTACTTTGCAGCAGTTATCTGGCAAAGGCAGTCTTATTCTGAGTGGAATTCAGGGCATCTGCGCGGCGCTGTGTAGTGAAGTCCGAGCGTCCGAGCGCGCACGACCATCCCCACCCCGCCGCGCCCCCAAGCGGCCGCCCCGAAGCGCTGCCAGGCGAGCAGCAGCGGCAGCGGCGAGAGCGGCAAGGCGACCCCGGCTCCGAGTAGGGCGCGACAGGCTGCGGGCGCAGCGGCCTGCGGCCGGACGGGCGGTCCCAACGCGCGTGGGCCTGGTGTCCGCTCTAAATCCCTCTCGGCGGCCGCGCCCGGCAACGGAGCCACACGGGACAGAGGGAGAAGCGCGGCCGACGAGAGGACCCACAGCCCGGCCTTTGGAGGGCGCCCGTACCGCTGTCTACACCGCGTGCCCGCGCGTACTCCTCACCAGGCTGTGTGCCGCCTGTTCTCTCTGATTCTCCACAGGGCCTTTAGCTAAAATTAACGTGATGTCATTGTCAGAAACTACTCCATGCGAGGAGCGTTCGTTCAAGATCCATGACGTGACGAGTGTCTTTGTCCAGGAGGAAATCCCAGCCAAGCGCCCAGAGCAGGACTTATTTCTTCTAAATTCGGACCCCACTCCGCCACCTGTTTTCATCTTCTGGTGTCTGCTGATCACTGCCTCATTTGCCTCGGACTGTAGACTCCTCCCTCCTAGTCTCCATCCATGTGCATTAATTGTGCTTGGGTTCTTTTCAGATCCCAAGGATTTCTCATAAGTATGAACAGGCAGACACAACATCAGTGGCCCCGTAGACATGCCTAGTAGGGGAATCAACACACTTAAAATGACTGCTGAGATGGGATTTTAGGGATGACTGAGATTTCAACAGGGCACTAATCCTGAAAAGGAGAACTGGGTGAGTAAACACAGGCACCAAAAATACACCTGGCTTGTTCCCCATCGGGTCTGCCAGGGCAAGACTAGCACAACTTTTAAGCAGTTTGGCTAAAGCTGTTTCCACCTTGCTTCACACCACTTGGAGCAATGACAGTAAATGCTTAGAACGTGTTAGTGGTTAAGTATTGAGTGGATTTCTAGTGCTTTTTCTTTGTTCTTTTGGTCTCCTGATCCTTTCCTGTTCTTTAACAGAACAGACTTTGTATCATTCTACTTGTGGGTATAGCCCTCTCCATAACAGATGTTATACGTCTAAAGAGGAGGAAATATGTCCCATGCAGACCTTATACATCACAGTACCCAAGAGTACCTGCCAGGTGGTGGGGTTTCGAAAAACATTTATGAAATTCAGTAAAATGACATCTGCTTTAAAAACCTGGATTATGTTTAACTCCAGGGTTAGACTCGGGCAGTCATGAAAAAGAAAATACAATACCCTGGAGAAGGTCAATTTGTGAACATATATTCAGTCACATTTATATATAATTTATCACTGATTATAACTCCTTTAGCAAATGGCAAAAAGTCCTTTAATTTTTCTTATTTGTAGCGGCATCCATGTGCACCGTTCGGTAGTTCAGCTGTTACAGTGGAGACCTGCAGACCCGACAGACATCTGAAAGGCACTCATAACCAGAAATGCCCCATTTTTCCATCACACTCCAGTATAATAAGAGGTCAAAACCTAAGTGAAAAGCATACAAAATATGTGGAAAATATTTTAAAGCAAAAGAAGTTTCAGTTAGTTTTTTTAGAAAAACTTTCTAACTCATTGAAGACTCAGGAATTCCAAGAACAGTGAATTCTAGTTACTACCTAGGTGTCAAAAAATACGCATTACAATCACAAAATTTGAGGCTATCTGAACAAAAGGCAGAAACTTTTTACTCTTATATGAATTCAGAGATTTAAAGGGCAATAAAGGCTGTTCATTTAGGACAGATCGCAATTTTTTAAATATAACAAAATTATGTGCTATCTTCAAAGAACTGAGGGGCCAGGGATTTAGCTCAGTGGTTCTGCCGCCTGCCTTGCAAAGCGCAAGGTCCCCAGTTTGATCCCCGGTATCAAAAAAAAAAACAAAACTGAAATTTCCATCTTCAAAATTAATCTTTTCCTTTAATAATAAAGCCACTGTGTACAATTTGGCAAGTTTAAGATTTTATCTAAAATTCTATTTTTTAAATTACAAGGTTATGAATAATTATTTAGGAAGTCACTGGGAGACAACAAAAAAGAATTTCAAGTATTTTATTTATTGTAAATGTTATATTTGTATTATGTATATATACATAAACCAAAAAAATTACTAATGAAATTCAGTTAATAAACCTATTATTAAACTTTATTATGAAAGGTTGTGAAAAATTGTTTAAAATTTTATTGACCATACCATTTCTTCCATAGTAAAAATTTATTTTTTACATGGTTGAGACAGTAATTCAGACATCACATTAACTTTTGTACTTATCTAAGAAAACCTTTTCTTCTTTTATGCAGCCTAATTTCTAGGAAAATATGAGTCAAAAAGAGACATGATCCAGCACACCTTCGTAAATGTAAACATTCTAAATGATTTAATATCAAGCTTCAAAAATTCAGATTTTAGACATAAAGTGCTCATAAATTTTTAAAGTGGTTTTATAATAGCTCAAATGATTGACTGTAATTACTCCATTATTATACCCATGAGTCAACAGTGTATCTGATTAGATCTATTAAATACCTCGTATTTAGCTTGTACTTTAGCTTCAAGCTTGTACTCTTTAAAAATAATGCTATTTTAAAAGGATGTCATGCTTTAACATAATGCATAATAGAAATTCTAAAATTAATTTTTCTAAGTCATTTGTAGTGGAAGATCATAAAAATGGAAGCTAGTAAGTGTGTGAATAAACATACACTCCTTTAGCATATTTTATACTTAAACAATATTACAGCATCTTAATCATGGTTCTTCTGTATTCTTCTGAAGACAGAATATCCATTTATTCATGTCATGAATGAGAAACAAGATTCTAGTGTACAATGGCTATTAGTCTGTGCAAGATGAAAAGATTATTATTAACAAGACATATTATTGACAAGTAATTAGTTTTCAAAGGTATTAGATTGTCACATGTTTGGTCAGAAACTACATTAATGATAACCAAGGTCAAAAATTCAGGACTACATTTATGCACATAATGACAAATCTGACACTAATGCAGTTAATTCAAGAATCACTGCTATAACATGTTCAAAGTAACATAATCCACGTTAAGTACATTAACCTCATAGATGACCAAATAAGACATTTCAGTGCTGGAAATGGATTCCTCATTTGACTGTATGTCCTTGTATTTCTCAACTCCCCAGTTTGTTTGTTTTGTAGAATTTGTTTCCATTCATAATTGCAATAGGAAGAAAGACTTCTCGAAAAAACACCAGCAAGCAAAACATTCGCTCAGTTCTCTGAAGACATATGTAAAAAAAAAAAGTATAAAATCAAGTGAGGGAACTATACAAAGGAGGTGCAGGAGCAGGACGAGCAGGAATTAAATTTCCCTGAGATGACACTTTTGGTTGTGGTGGAGGTGGCCTGTAGTGGGGAGAAAAGATAGTTAATAGTGTGCATGGACCAAATGAAATAATGCTGCATTCATGACAAGCTCAATATAACACTATTCTCAGCCTTCCTTTTAAAACAGGTAAGGGTACTTTACTTTTTTTTTTCATTTTTTTTCCCCATTAACTTTATTGGTACATTTTAGGTATACAAGACAGTTACATTCATCATTGGGATCTTGTACCATTACATGAGTCTCTTGGTTCATTTTTTTTTTCCCCTTCCCTTGCCCTCCCTTCACCCCCTCCACCCTTCCCTACTTGCAAAGACCTTGTTTCCATTTTTTTTCCTCTTCTCATATTTTTTCCTTTCCCTTTTTTCCCTTCCCCTACCCCTCCCAATTCCCCTGTTCTTTTAGACCTTTTCTTCCTGTTACACAATATCAGTTATACATTTTTTAAATTACAATATCAAGATCTAGGAGACATTACCATAGATTTTACAGAATTTAAAAGGATATAGAAAGCATATTACAAAAATCTTTTTTGAAATAAATTTGACAACTTCTAAGAAGGAACTTAGAAGACAAATTAATGAAACTAACTCTGGAGGAAATATAAAATTTGAATAGCACCTATTAAAGAAAGTATATTCCTAGCTTGAAAACCTACCTAGAGGACAACAGCAGGCTCATAAACATTTTAACTGATAAATTATATCAAACAATTAAAGCAGAAAAAAGAAGGGACACTTCTCCCCTCATTTTAGGAAATCAACATTGTGCTAATCCTAAAACTGGATAAAGATAATAGAAGAAAAAAGTATGAACATAGATAGAAATTTGTTTAACAAAATAAACTCTTAGAAGTCAGATCTGGCAGTATGTAGAGAGTGGTTTTGTTATAGGGATGGCAGTGTTGGTTCAGCATTGGAAGATCCACCCCCAAAAGTCATCATTTTAACAGAGGAAAGAAGAAAGCCATATGATCGTGTCATTAGTTGGAGAAAGAGTATTGGACTAAATTCTACAGCTGTTCATGGTAAAAGCTATCAGGAGACTAGAAGTAGAACAGAACCTTCTCAACAGATCAAAGACATGTACTCCATACTTCCAACAAAAACTCCTTTGATGACTGGAGATGACACAATGCCTTCTCCCTAAAGTGGGGAACAAGGGCATATATGCCTACTCTTCATCTGTCCATTAGACTTTGAAACATAGGTCTAAACCAAAATAGTCTGGCAATGACACAACTAGGATAGGATTGGCATGGCAGAAGCAAAATCTTTATATGTAGATGAAATGATCATCTACAGAGAAAATACTAAGAAATCTCTAGGAGCCCCTAGAGCTTGTACTTGAATTTAGCAGGATTAGAAAACACAAGGTATATATAAAAATTCAGGTCTGTGTATACTTGCTATAAATGGAAGAACTGGATATTGAAATTTTAAAGTTATGTAGGAGTACAAAGGACCTAGAAAAGTAAAAAGAGAAAAAAAAAACAGTGTTGGAAGGTGTTTAGTACCCAATTTTAAGACTTCTTCTAAAGCTACAGTAATCAAGGCAGTGTTGGTGTAAGGAAAGACATATAGATCATTGGAATAAAACAGAGAATCTAGAAATAGAACCACACATATATGGTCCACTGAGTTTTGAAAGATTATTTAACATTAGCATTTTATAGAATATAAACTCGATTCAAGAACCGAAGAAGAGATAGTGTCTTCAGTAAACGGCACTAGAACACCTGGTATCTGTATATAAAAAATTAACCTCAACCGTAAGGGTACTTTATATTCTGAGATTATTATTAATATGATATTGCTCAGTATAAACCTAGCTCTATGTTTACATATAGAGAGCTGAACTTCCATCTCCTCAAACAATATCCACTCGGCCAGTTAACCTTGCTATTATGACTATGCCAATCCATCTTCGCCCTTAACCTCTCTGCCAAATCCAATCTTAGTGTCCCTCCAGTCTAACACCACACCAGAATACCACCTGGTAAATATATCTCTTGCAATTTATAGATTCTTCTCATCTTCAGTTGGATTTCAGTGTGCTCATACTGAATAATAAAGACCATGTATCATGACACTTCTCAATGCTGCAAAGCAATTGGAATTTGGAGGATTTACTGGCGGGCAAGGATCAGATGCATTTTTTTTTTTTGGTGCTGGAGATCGAACTCAGGACCTTACGCTTGCAAGGCAGGTGCCAGAACCACTAAGCTAAATCCCTGGCCACTCAGATGCATTTTATACAATGTAAAATGTAGTAATAAATTTATTCCTTTCCTGCTGATTTTAAGGTCATCTATTGAGTCTTTAATTTCAATTCTTGTGTTCAAGTTCTAGAATTTGCATTCTTTTTTTTAAAGTCTCTAGTTCTGTAATGAAATTCTCAAACTTGACTATTAATTCCAAGACATAATCACTGTGATTATTTTAAAGTCAATGTCAGATGACTTTTAACTGGATACCTTCTCAGCATGTTTTTATGGTCCATTGGTTCTTGGTTTCAATGACATTTTCTTTTCTTGTATGCCTAGCTTTTTTGATTGGGGGCCAAACATTAAAACAAAGAACTCAGTTGAGGATATGGTTCATCTTTAATCCTGGGTCCCAACACAAAGCCTGGGATGTTGGCCAAGCTACATCCTCCAGTTTTTATCCCCTCTACCCTGTGAGTTAATTGAAAGCTTTCCACTTTCTAACTCCTCACTGATCACCTTCAGAATAGGTAGATGCATCCAGAATAGAAAATGTAGTAACTCAAAGCTGAAATTACCTCTCCACTTCCTTCTGAGCCCCATCCCCACAACTTCTCATCTCCTTGGCCTCCTATGCCATTAAACATGTTTTTCTACCCCGCCAGGCTCTTCTGGTTCTTCCCAACCTGTTGAGTTTCCTATTGCTAGTTACTCCAAAGGCTTTTGCTTCTGAATTTTATACATACCAAAGGCTTCAGCAGCAGTTCATTGTAAGGGTTGCTCAGGCTTCTTTTTAACATTTCCTTTTATCATTATACTAAAATGATGAAATTCATGCAGTAACTGAGCCATTTCCTATTTTAAATGGCTTCTACAGAAAATCAGCAACTCAGTTATTAAACTAGCAGGATCCTACAATGATACATCTAGTGAAAGTAGACTTATTTCTATTTTATGTTTCACTGAGAAAAGTTTCCATCTCATTCCAGCTGCTTTATTTATCTTTTTCATGGGACTCTGCATGGAATTTTTTCCTTTTTCTTTTTATTTTGACGAGTGGAGTTAGACGTTCTTACCATAGAATTTTACAGGGTTTTACTAGCTTTCTTTACTGCATTATATGTAGGAGTGTGGTGCAGTGCTTTTATCTGTAGCATTTATGGTTTTTTTTAATTTTCCATTTTTCAAGAATAATTTCTGCTTTGTTAATATTTATACACAGGCCACTTGTTGAAGTAATGAATTAAAAATATAACCAAGTGCCTACGTCTTTCAGCTGATGTTACTAGATATTAAATCCTCCTAAGTTATGCAGAATTGTTTTTACAATTTTGATAAATTATGCACTAATGTAATGCCACTTTTTTAAAGTGCAGATTTAAGCCTGTACATTATAGAATCTGATGACTTGGCAAAAGAATCAGGTGCTTTCAGCTTTCTTGAGAAAACCTTGTATGTAGCGTTTGCACTGACTAACAAGATGGTATTGCTGGGTTTTTAATTTAAACTAATTAATTTGGATGTTTATTGCATTATCTTGGTTAAATATTGTTTGTTGTTACTTCATGCTGGGGTTTAATTTTCCTTGTTTTCTGACTGGTAGGTTGATAAGACTATGAACCACGTAATAGTAGAACATTGGCTAACATTTACTCATATTTAAAAACATGAATAAGGGTCGGGGATTTAGCTCAGTGGTTTCATCCCCTGCTGTGCAAGAGCAAGGACCCAAGTTCGATCCCCGGTACCAAAAAATAAAACTAAAAACATGAATAATCCCTGCCCTGCCATAATGTGACTGAAATTGTTCTGGCTTGGCCTCTAACAGTACGCAGCATGTCCCACCAGCCATGCCCCAGATTTGTGGGAGATATATTGTCAAAATCGAAACTGCAGTCCACTTTTGAAAACAAAAGCTGAGCATTTTTTCCTGGCAACCGACCTTCTCTATAGTTTGTGCTTTCGTTTTTCTTCCATTTCTTTAGGATTAGTTTGACTTTTTTTTTTTTAATTAAGTTCTGTGAAGTTGTTTACTCTGAAGATTGTACTGGAATATTTTTTTTTCTTTTTTTTTTGTATTGGTACTGGGGATCGAACTCGGGTCCTTGGGCTTGCGCAGCAAGCGGCAAAACCACTGAGTTAAATCCCCAGCCAAGCTGATCTTTCACCAGGTGTACTGTATGTAAGGGCTTTTCCTGCCAGAAAGATGCTTAAACAGGATCATGTTATTGATCGTCTGAACTATTTAGTTATTTTACAAAACCACAGCATTGTGTCAGATAAGATTTGGTAAAAGTTTTGTGCACATTTCCAGGGGTAGGAGGGTTGATCCCTGAAATTTCTTGATCAGAATGAGTAAATACTGGTGTTTGATACCTGTCTTAATGAACATGCTCATAAGGTGACTGATAAGTTGTAAATATACCTGAAAAACAAAGGGGTAGTTTTGATATTCTGGTGTCAGTATGGAAGATCTTACACATTAATTTAATACTCAAATGCATGAAGATGTTTGTTTGTAGCACAGTAGCCTTGACTTAGTTTCCTTTGGTCAGTACTGTGCCTTTTTGCCATGGCCAGTGCTCCTCATCCCTACAAAGACATCTTATTTATTTCAATCTGTAAACTGAAGTGAATAGGAACATGAGTTTTAAACCATGTTACATTAACTTATTTCTGACATAAATTAGCCTAAGTTATTACAGGAACATGACTGTTACATAATTTGTATCAGAACCTTTCTATAAATATGTGCTTATTACATTTTGGATGCTTCCAATGTACTTTATTTGCTGTTTGTAATTCCGAAAAGGATATACAAACCAGTATGTCTATTTCATGGATATTTAATAGTGACATCTTCCATGTTGAAGGTAATGTATTTTTTTTTAAGATTTTAAAATTGCTATTTTGTTACAAAACAGAGACCTATTAACAGTTTGAGAGCTCCTTATGTGCCCTCAGGGAAAGAACCCTCTGTGCAACAGAACTACACAAAATCTTCAGCCCATTCTGAGGGTGAATATATACTACATGATCTTGTGTATTTAACCTTATCTTTTTAATTTTAAAATTGAAATTTTGAAACTTGGTTGTGCTCTGCTGGAGGGGGTTGGGATAAATTGCTTAGGTGTTTGCCTACTTGTTCAGTAAATTACATTTGCATCAGTGTATGTATATACCTGCCAACCTTAAAAAAAAAGATGAAATTCACATAAAAGTTCTTTAAAAGCCTTTCTATAAATTGTGTTGTATCTAAACTTGTCCTAAATTAAATTGCCTACTTTGCCCTAAGTTAAATTAAAAGTAAGAGAAACTATAAGGCATTAAGCATGGATTTTATTCTAGTCAGGTAATCTAATCAAATTCACTTCAGACCTTGATGGAAACTGCTGAGGCTGCTTGGCTGCATAGACTGGTACTGGAAATTGGTTTGCATGTACAGCCTAAAAGGAAAAAAAAACAATAAAAAAAGATATTATCACAATGTAGTCATAAATATGTTTTATGTATAATTAATATACTTAAATTAAGAGATTACTTATAATTCTGTCATTTTAAAATAGTTTGCTTAAATGGGCTAGGAATATAGCTCAGAGGGAGAATGCTTGCCTAGCATGTGCATGACTCTGGATTTGATCTCCAGCACCACAAAAAAAGTTTTGTTTTTTTGCTTATTCAATCTATCTTTACCACTGAATGTGGAATACCACAGTACCTTGGTTCATGAATGTTTTTGTTGGCAAACAATTTGGTTCACAAACAGAAGCATTTGGCAAAATTTTGTTTTTGTTTGCAAACTCTGCATCAAGTGACATACCCAATCACGGCCATCTTTCCTACACAAAAACAAACGTGACGATCTTTTCCAAAATTGTAAAACAAATTAAGTTCGTGAACCGAGCTATCACTGTACTTTATTCTTTTAATACTGTATTAGCCTTCTTGTCACCAGGACACAACACCTGATACCCACAACTTTAAGGAAGAGAGGTTTAATTTAGCTCATGGTTTCAGAGGATTCAGTCCATGGTCAGCTGGCTCCAAGGCACAGTAATCACAGCAGAAGGGCGTGGGAAGGAAAGCTGCTTAGTTCACTGCAGCCAAGAAGCAGAGCAGAGGGACAGCCCCTGAGATGAGGGAGCCAGAGACCAGATATAGACCAAAGTCTATGCCTCCATGACCCACGTGGTCACACCCCTAAGTGTGATCCACCAATCACCTAGGTAGATTCCAAAGTCAATAGATTTGACACTCTCTCCTAACTACCACAAATCCTATAATTTTTTTAAATTCAAAAATATCAAATTATAATCATTTTGGTACACATTAACTATATTATGCCAATATATTTTAAGTAAAATCTTTTTAAAATGCATTTCCAAATGGATACAGTACCTAATTGGTACTGTAAATACCACAAATCTACAGTCCTTACTTTTGGAATTCATGATATTCTTCCTTGATAAGGTAGCTGAAACAACATTTTACAACAAAGTAGGACTATATATTTCAGCCCTAAATAAGAAAGTAAAATAAAAACATTTTTAACACATAAGACATTCTATTGGGAAAAGGAAAGATCAGACAGAATTACTCATCACTGATGAAATGATTTTGACCAAAGTTTTCTGTACTGTGCATTGATTCCTACAGCTCTGTGGGGAAAATACACATAGAGTTAGAAAAGACACTGAGCACTCACTCTCTGGTCCTGCCATAGAACAGGTGGTCTATCACCTGCTCAATTTTTCCCCAAAAAAGGACTTGCAAGTATTATAAAATCCAAGAAGAGATGCAGTAAATGTCTCCATCTCTTCCCACCAAGACTTCAGGGAAACAGTTTGGAAGGATAAATTCTACTTTTTGGAATAATAATTTGCTGAGGTGACGGATACATCAATTAGCAACACTGACTTTTACTACAATGTACATGTTAATCAAAATATCACATTGTACCCACAAAAAAATACACAATTATCTGTAAAATAAAAATAGTTTTATACTAAAACTAAAAATTATTAAGTAATCAAGGTATTCGATTTTTCTAGTTTTATCTAAAAATTCCACATTAACAAATTAAACATTATGTCATACCCCATACAATTATGTATATAATTATGATTTGCCAATTAAAGTATTTCTTAAAATTTTACTTCAACTTTTTTTTGGGGTACTGGGAATCGAACTCAGGATCTTGCATTTGCAAGGCAAGTACAGTACCACTGAGCCAAATCCCCAAACTTTTAAAAATTCATCTGACAATATACTTTTACGTGTATGCAAAGCATGATAAAGTCCTCATGTTTAGAAAAGGAGTAAAAATATTAATTTTAAGTATTATATTACATATACATGTTAAAATTATAGAAAATTCTCTAAAAGAGATTCTGGCTATATAACAATAGATAATTTATCTAACAGTGCACCTAAACACTAGCACAGGAGAAAACTGAAATATGGAATGATGGAAACTAAACAAACCCAAAAGAATACAAGAATAATTGGGTACAGAAAAAAAGACAAAGACAGGAAAATAAAGAAATCAAAATAACATGATAGAAAACACTGTATTAATAGTTATAGCCAGGAATAGTAGTGGACGACTGTAGACCCAGCACTTGGGAGACCGAGGTAGGAGAATTGGTGTGAGTTCAAGTCCAGTCTGAACTACATAGCAAAAGCCTGTCTCGAAACACCATAAAAAAGTTACAATCTGTGTAAATGAATTAAAATCTCTAGTTAAAAGTAAATGTTTTTTAAATTAAAAATCCTAAATATTCGATTTACATGAGCAGACAAAGAAAGGCTACATGTGATATGGGATAAATGGCAGCTAAAGAAAAGTTACTATTGATGGACTAATACAGAAAAAATAAACTTAAGGTAAGAAATTGTCTTTCCTAAACTCATACATAACTATTTTCATGCCCAAAAGCTGAAAACAGTTGTAACTACTATTTTAAAAACTTGTAGTTATCAACAAGAAAGATGTCATCTACAAGAATATAGGGGAAAAATTTAAATGTGCTTTAACTGAAACTGAAAGCTTTTCGTCCAAGAATAAGAATAAACCAAGAATCACTGCTGTATCCCATAGCAGCAGAAGATCCAACCACAGCTATTGAAGAAATAAAAGGCACCCAAACTAGAAGGAAAATAAAAGAATATCTATCAACAAATGATCTGATCATGTATCTGTGGATGTGTGTGTACACACTAGGTCTCAAAGCATCCAAAAGAAGTTACTAGAGCAAATCCATGAGTTTGGAAGGGCTGTGGAGTACAAGAACATACAAAGATCAGTTATGTTTGAATATACCAGCGGTGAACTATCCAAAAAGAAAATTAAATAATTAATTTATAATAACTGTCAAAACAGTAAGCCTACAAAGCAATGCTAAAAGAAAGTACACTTAAGTAAGCAGAAAGACACCTAGCATTCATGGAATCAAAGACTTAGTGTTGATCAAATGTCAATACAACCCAAAGCAAACTAGAGAATCACCATAAACTCCATAAAAAATTTAACTTTTTGCAAAAACTGAAAAATTGCCAGGTACAGTGGCACATGCCATAATCCCAGCACTCAGAGAGGCTGTTGCAGGAGGATAACCACAAGTTCTAGGCCAGCCTGGGCTACACAGTGAGTTCCAGGCCAGCCTGAACTACATAGTGAGTCCCTGTCTCAAAAAGAAAAGAAAAACCAAAAAATCAATCCTAAAATTCATATGGAGTTATAAGAGGCCTGGAGTAACCAAAATAATGCTGAAAAAGGGCAAACAATGTGGGAGGTCTCACACTGCACAATTCATAACATAATAAAATGCAACAGTAATCAAAATAGTACAGCATTAACATAAAAGATAAGCAAAAAAACCCAATAGAATAGAACTGAGAGTCTGGAAATAGTAACCATCATCAACAGGCCAATGATTTTTCACAAGGGTGCCAAATCCATTCAGTGAGGATCAGAACAGTCTCGATGTGCAAAAAAATTAATTTGGACCCCCTACTTCACACTGTACACAAAGGTTTAACTCAAATGGATAAATGAACTAAATGTAAGAAGTAAAACTACAAAGCCCTTGTAAAAAAAAAATACAGAGGTAAGTCTTCATGATGTTGGATTTGGCAGTAAGATACAATACCAAAAACATAAGCAACAAGAGAAAAAATTGGGCTAGTGGTGTACCTCAGTGGTATATCATGCACAAGGCCCTAAATTCCATCCCTAGTACCATAAAAACAGAACACACACACACACACACACACACACACACACACACACACTAAGGAAACTGGACTTCATCAAAATTAAAAACTTTTGCATCAAAAGCAAGAAAGTGAAAAAAAAAATCTATGAAATGGGAGAAAAGATTTTGAAACAATATATATGATAAAGGCATAATATCCAAAATATATAAGGAATTCCTGTAACTCAACAATAAGAAGACAAATATCCAATTTAAAAAATAGAGGACTTAATAGAGATTTATTCACAGAAGACATACAAATGACCAATGACCATATGTGACATGATTTGGATCTAAAAGGCTCAGAAGTGGGGCTTTTGGAAGGTCACTGGGTCATGAAAACTCTAACTTTATCTGTGGATTAATCCATTGATAGAGTCATAATTTGATGGCATCACTGGGAGGTAGTGGATATTTGGAAGGTTGGTCTACCAGAAGGAAATGGGTTGTCGGGGGCATAACCTTGGGGCCTGTATCTTGTCCTCTGCCTCTTCCTCTCTGGCTCTCTTTCTCTCTGTCTGCTTCCTCATTGCCATTAGGTGAGCAGGTTCTCTCTGCCATACTCTTCAACTGTGATGTTCCACCTCACCACCGGTAAAATAATAGAGCCAGTTGACGACAGACTAAAACTTCTAAATCTCTGAGCCAAACTAAACCATTCATTCTGTAAGGTGACTTTCTCAAGTGTTTTGTTACAGCAACAGAAAGCGGACATGAAAAGATACCACAAATTGACAGAGATTTAAAATAATAAAAATTTTTAAACAGAACAAAAAATAGTACTACTGGTGAAGACAAAGAGAAATTGGAACTCTGATACACTGCTAGTAGGAGTGCCGTATAGTATAGTACAACCACTATGAAAACACATTTGGCAGTTCCTCAAAAAATTAAGCACAGGATTATTATATGACACGCTGATTCCATAATACCCAAAGGAATTGGAAACAAATACTCAAATATATGTATGTATATACATGTTCATGGCAGCATAATTCACAAAAAAAGATGGAAGCAGTGCAAGTATCAAGAGATGAATGGATAAACAAAATGTGGTATAAGCATGTAACAGTGCTATAGTCTAAATGCAAATGTTCCTCCAAAATTCGTATGATGAAACCTGATCCCCAACATAATAGTACTAAGAGGTAAAAGTCTTTAGGAGACAACTAATTTCTTTATAATAGACA